TGGTTCTGATCCATAGCAACTCTATATAGGGTTTCCAAGGAGCAGTTGGTGAGCTTTAGTTGGTGACTTGAACTTCCAACCTTGCAGGTCAAATGGCTTTCCAGTCTGGTGAATTAACCACAGCCCCACACCAGGACTCCATTTTAGATAATACATTGCTAAAAACTAGGTCTGAGAGTGTTACCGCTGCTGTGTCTCTTCTAAGAAATTTATGGTTTTAGTTTATATAGTTAGTCTATTAATCCATTTTTAATTTGTGTTTATATATTGCGTGAATCGGTTTCATTTTTCTGCTTGTGGCAATCCAAAATTTTCAGCACCATTTGTTAAAGAGACTCTATTTTATCATTGAATGGCCTTAACACTCTTTGTGCCAGACTGCAAAGCTATTTGTACTGTAAGATCAACGCTTCAAGCTCATCAGCTGCTCCTTGGAAACCCTATACAGGGTTGTTATGGGTCGGAGTCGACTCGACAGCACTTAACAACAACAATCTTGCTACGTAGAGTTCTGCACAGAGAAGTATATAAGTTACTTCATTCTTTTGTCTTTGTGTATTTAAAGTATGTTAGTACAGTTTCTTATACAAAACATATTCAGCCTAAACTTATAGTATGGAAGTCCTTGATTTTTTAAGTATGGGAGAAAAAAAATGGACTCTGTCTTCTTTCATGACAGCTATGGAATCCTTTGGTGTGTTTTTGTGCTATCTTTACAGCTTCTGTTGCCACTATTTAGCTTCTGTTATATTTGCATGACTTTGCATTAGTACTGATCTTCTTAGTTACTAGTGTGTTATCCACCATGCAGATGATGTCTTCAAATATTTCAGTTATTTTTATTTAATTATGTAATTCTGGAGTTACTTCCTTTGAAGATAAATTCCTGACATCATGGACAGTCTTGCATTATTCCACTTCTCTGTACTGGTTCTCATTTCACACAAAATAAACCCTGCTAGAATTCTGTGGTAGCTGTTGACTTAATATTTTCTTAAAATCAAACCTGAATTTTGTTTTGGATAGCACAGTGTTCTGTATATCTTAGGGGATTTTCAAAATTTTTTGTTTTTCAAAGGAAAAGTATATCCCAATTTGCATGGAAAATGTGAAGACAGCATCTGTGTATTTGCTTTTTACCACATCTTTTCACCAGATGTGCATGCCATGTACTTACAGTCGACTACTCTTGTTCTTGCCTCCTCCTCCCACCTGGGGTCTGAAATTCTAAGGCTGCCACCAAATTAGTAGTTCCTTCTGTTCTGATTTATAAAGTACTGTTTCTGTATGTATATACACATGTTCATAACCTCTTGATTTGTGACTCTAAAATCTCAAATCTTTATGTATTTAGCACCAAAGCGCATTTGACAACAGTTCTTTTGAATTAACAATAGACTATACGTAAGCTATATTTATTCTACTTAGTGTGAATTGTTCTGTGTTCCACAGCATTTGGTTGTGACATGCTGCCTTTAACATGCCTGGGGTGTTACATAATATAAGGCATATCATGTTATCTTTTTAAAATCCAAAAATGCTTATGTTTGAAACGTATTTGACCCTAAGTGTTTTGTATCAGATATTGTGAACATATAAGCTTTCTTTCTTTCTTTTTTTTTTTTTGGTATATTTCTTTTTAATTCATGCCATTAATAAATCTTTTAAAACATACAT